TTTTGTGTGATGTTGGTATTTTGCCTGTGACCGCATTTGAATCTGTTTTTTTTTGCCTTATAACATTGTAACTATGGTTGTTTATATTCATATACAAATACAGAATTATTATTATTATTATTATTATTAGGGATTATTAATTTCTATATTTATAATGAGTTTCTATGTGTATTTCGATAGTTGGTTTCTCGTTTGTTTGTTTGTTTTTTGTACAGTTTTTTTTATATTTAATTTTTTCTCTCTTTTTTTATACATAAAAAAATGTTTCCTTTTAACCAGTTTTTTATATTTTCATTTATATAAATATACATATAAATCTATTAACTTATTGTTAGCTGGTGGTGATGATGATAGGCGATAATTCTCTCCATTAGCCTTTATTATCAGTTTCTATATTGAAGATTCATTTATTTTCTTTCTATCTAGTCTTGTTCTTCATTTTTTTTTCCTTGTTTCACCTGGGGGTTTCTTTTTGTTATTCAGTTCTTTTAAATAAGAAACTGAATTGCTTCAATTATTGACCATTGAATAATGATAACAGCATAAACGGTCTATATATATATGTGTGTGTGTGCGTACGTACGTGCGCTCACTCACTTGTTCGTTCTTTTCAAACATCAAAACAGACACTGGAATCGAAGGAGAAGAGTAAAAGAAAACCGAACTACAAGTAGCAACACTGTTTTCTTTTTAACCATTATTCAACATTGAATTGTATTTAAACCTTAATCATCAATATTCTCCTTCATTGAAACTTGTTCAATTCTTTGTAACTGTTAGAGAATAATTCATAAAAAGAGAATTTGTATTTTATTTCATTAATAAAATGTGAAATCAATGAGCGCGCGGGGGAGGGGGGTAAGGGTGTCCTTCTTTTTTTTTTTACCTTGGGACACTCAATCAATAAACAAAGAATTACTATCCATTATTATTGTCACTATGTCAACATGTTTTTTTTATGTAAATGAATAAAATACATTTCAATTGTGCATTTGATCGATGTATTTATTCTTTATTATGATGATGATCATCATCATCTTAATTCTTAGCCTTTTTATTTGTTTTTATGAATCATTTTATTGTTTGTATTATACATGATTGTTTTGTCACCTTTTTTGAAATTTTAATGATTTAAGAACAGTTTTATTGTTCATTTGATAAAACTCAATGAATGAATGAAAAGAGGGTGTGTTTTTTCCTTTATGTAAACACCTTTCTACACAATTTCTCTTTATATATATATATATATTTACATACAATAAATGAATATACTATTATTTGATAGTTGAGAGAGTTATATTCATTTATGTCATATTCAGTGTTTTGTTTTCACAAGTTGTTACACTCTGTGGTGCAAAATCATCTACAGATCAACAAAAGTATAAATCCACTGATATATATACATACATTGATATATTTAACTAGTATTATAAGCAGAAATGGATGGTGGCTAGTAGTAGAGTCCACTGTCAGCTGTATGTACTTGCCATATGCCAAGATTGATGTTTACCGTTCGCTTTAAATATCGCGTCATCTACTTAGCTACTGAGTTAAAATAACCACTGGCCACCTGTTACGTATACCTGAATACCGATTATCATGACGCGCAATACTGACTACTGTTAAGGATGGTTAGAAGAAAATTAGGGGCGGCCAAACCAAAATGTAGCATCAGTGCTTGAAGTCACTAACTTCTAGTCTGAGCCATGTTGGTAGATGCAGACTACTTGGTTGGGGTCCGTGTGACTGTCGTAACCAATGGTTGGAGACTGTGACATGGCTCAGAATCGATCACAATCGCGTAGGTGTATACACTCTCTGTCTTCCCTTGAACCATGAGATTAGGATCGCTTCATATCTTTCTTTCTCCCAGTACTATATCCTTATATGCAATCTTTTATATATTACCACAACTGAATTAACTACTATGAATTTGGTGTTCATCATGTTGTGTTAATGAGGTATGGCAACTTGGACCGTTGCATATATGTGCTTGGTCCTACGTTGTAGCTGACTGACTAGCTTGTGTAATGAGGTGAAGCTTAATTCATTTGTATTGGTTGTTTTCATTTCCCCATTGGTGTTTAGATCTGAAATTAATCAGTCTTTTTTTGGCATATATATACATCCTGTACGGATTGCTTCGATATAGTCATATCACAAGCATTTCTTAGCAGAGATAGATGGTGGCTAGTGGTGTAATTAACTAATAAATGCACATAGGGAAAGGGTGAACATGTGTATTAAGCTGTTCAATAACGAAATATTTAGCTACGAGTATAGGAACGACAAATCATCAGCCAGTTCTTGGCTGATCAAAATTATTTTTAAAAAACACCTTTTGTAAATGGATAGTTCATGAGAAAGAAAACAAATAATATTACAAAGTGTAAATAGATCTTATACAACTAACAATTTTATCACTGTCTCCCACAGGTTAACATGCCTGTAAATTTGAAACACAACGACATATAAATTCGTCATTATGAAGATCCTATTTCGAGCCCTTAAAAAGACCCAAATAGATTTTCCGAATTTCCCAAATTCTTCCTGGCTAAGGAATCAATTTTACAATTTAAGATTAGAAGTTAGGGCCCTAATGTACAAATACTTAGTAGCCATAGAGTTTGAAAGCTTACGGTTAAGATTCGGAAATTAGAATTAAGATCGGTATTATGATATTGTGGTCAAGATTTAGGATTATTCGCTGGATATGTACATCCTACATACAAAGACTCGAGCATTTAATACGATCACTTCATAAAAATCGTAATTTCTGGTTTTCATTTTTAACCCTCTCAGCGCTATACAGAAGTGCTTGTACAACTTATCTTGCGCGAAATAAGATAAATCACTTATCTCCAACTTTAGCTCAAACGCTTGACAGTTGTTTTCTCGACTCTGATTGACTTGTCGTTGTGCTATTGTTCATTGATGTGTTTATTTTTGTATTCATGTCAAGGATATTTTAGAACATCGTAAAGCCGCGATTTTATGATTGAATCGTGTTCAGCATTCATAAAACAACACCCCATCCACTTCGGTTGGAATAGTGGTGGATAATATCACTAGCCTCGTGCTATTTGGCACTCGAACGAACTTCATAGTAATTAGGCTAATCTTCACATTGCGACTTGGTCGATAGAACTAAACCATCAATGAAAGATTGGACGTCGGTCCCTACTCAATGATCAATCGGTCGTAAATGCCACGCTTATACAAAAGTTCGGTAGAAGTTGTGGACTTATATTACAAATCGTTTTAGACTGTAAACTGTTGAAGACGTCATGGGTGGTTACCAGGATTAGGCAACCACGTTGACTCTGATATACATGTTACGCAGGAGGATTTTATTATTCGTCATGAAGAACTCCGAGGAATTGTTAAATGAGTACAGTGCTGATCAATAAGTGAGATCCATTGATACAATATGACTGAGTGATCCTTGCTCACTATACCAAATTATTTTTAGATTACTCACACTCCAATGAATTAAGAACTGAGTGCTATTTCGCCTAACTCCTCCATTTCACTTCAATTAACTCTCACTTATTGTGACGTACTAACCACATTGAAGTTGGTCAAGCCCTTTGAGGTAAAGCCTGTTGGTTTTTCTGATAGATGAAAACCAGACTATAAGGCAAAACGTATCCGCTACAAGTATGTTTTTAAGGAAAATCGTGGTGCTTGGGTCAAGTATACGTTGCATGCATATCGGTAACACATGTTTCCACTTATGCATCACTTGGCATACACATAGGCACACGCGTTACTTGGGTGGGAGAATGATCACCACTCCCTTCACTTGTATATGCTACTCACTATTTTTATTTTACAGATCTGTTTTTTGTTCTGATTAGGCCGATTTTTTGCTGTAAGGCAGACTATTTTTCAGGATCGTTGCGTACACCTACATACCACAATGGTACAGGTCTAGACTTACAGCTATATATATATAAAGGACAGTCGTAAATGATTACTTTGATGAATGGCCACCGAAGTTACAGCATATGGAGTGGTTGACTAATCCGATATCCTCCGAACGCCCAAGTTAGATCGTGAGGTTACCCTCACTACCCAGCAGGATCACAAGGAGGCTTTTAGTCGGATTTTACTGCTTAAACTAAGACTCGCATGTTGCAAATTCCCTAGCACACAAATCGATTTAATTCACCATTAAGTTACTTCTCACCAAATAATAACTGTCTTGACTAATTATACATTTAAATTTTACTGCAATACTTTCGTCTACTTAAGGTGTTCACCTGTTAGTACAGTTTTTGAGGATACAAGATGAGAAAATGACTCAATTAGATCACATATACTATATGGTCTTTTTTTTCCCAAATGTCATCTTACCTCTATCGATAAGATTATATAATCTTATAACTAAACTGGCTTATCTTTCTCCTCAACATCAGTGGTTAGAAGTCAACAATCTAGACCACTAGATGACTTTCAACCGGTATGCGTAACAGGTTCAAAACTCTCCCCACTTTATTATTTCACTTTAAAAAGACTAGTTATGTCTATAGCCACGTAAACCTGTATACTCGGTTGTGAAATAATTGCGTAAAGACAATATGTGAAATTCATATTCAACATTTTTAAAGCAACAGTTGACTTGACAATGATCCGGATACATTCAGTTGACCATTTGATCTATTCTCTCTTAATACACAGAAAGTTTGGAAAATACTAATGCTTCTGTTTTGATAGTCTTCGGAGGTTTTTCATTTATTTCCTATAGTAATAGTAAGCACCTGACAAGTCGAATTTCCTGCCCTGTATCACTTCTGCATGTATTTCGCAGATAATTTGTTATTACCTGATATTATGAATTGTCTAGTCTACGAAAAGAACTTATACATATTTATCATTGGCAATACATGAAAGTGCCCAGGACAGAGTGGGTTGGAGAATGCTGGTCGGCGGCCTATGCTCCATTAGGAGTAACAGGCGTAAGTAAGTAAGTAATACATGAAAGTAATCAGAAAGATGAACATACAAATGATTCATTTAATTATAAAGCTTCGTTTTCATAATTAGAAAAGTAACATGCTCTTGTGTTATTATTCTTTCAGAAGACTGATAAATAATAATGATCATACATTAGTCCTTATCCGTCTTTAACTCAGATGAATTTTTACGCAGCCTTACAAGTTTTTCTACAAAATAAATTACTTGTTTAGTTAAGCAATCATATTAATACCTTCACACTGGATTAAAGCATTTGTACGAGAAACAGGAAAAAAGATATTGCCGCCGAAACGTTCGTATATAGGCTACGAAAAGACTGGTTAAAACAGGAAATCAATTAGTTAGGCTACCTGTGAGGGAACAGTTTGTTTCAATTCGTTTTGGACAGTTTCTTGTAGAGCTATCTAAAAATAATTATCATTACCATAGCGCAAAGACCAAACATACCTGCTTACTCAACGTAGGCATGATTTGATGCTCATTTATTCGGCAGCAATTTAATCTACAGGTGGACATCAGAAAATGGTGCGCTTGTTAACTAGTGAACAACATTGGTTCAAAACACATGTCTTTAATGACAGAGAAGGACACTAATTGATATCTATTTTATTTATTTAAACACATAAACATTGGTGCAAAGGGGCATCAAAATATATACGAACCACACAAATCATTGAGATTGTGATGCGATGCCGCCTAGTTGCTCAAACTGAAGCAGATGGTTTACTTAGGGGACCACCTCACCCCGAGACTTTGGCCCACAGGTTTGAATAACATCTAATGCGGTTCCATAATAACCAGTGGACAAGAATAGTTTCATATGTCATTTGTTCCTCAGCCTCATGCCCACCATTGGTTCGAGATCAGGATTTTACAACCCCAATAGGTAGATCCTCCGTGCCAACTTACGCGGTTTAAGTGCCGGATATAAATTGGCAATAGCAAAATACAGACACATATATAAAGTAGAAACATATCTAAACAACATAAACCAACACTTTTTAGAAAAACTAAATTCTACATAAACAATGCGTCTGATTTTTCGAAGAAACCAAAGTCTAATAAAGCAGCATTGGCGTGGATTTAATACATAAACCAATCTGTTACACTGTACTCAGATATGTAACTGATTTCCCGATTTTCGCTAAATCGTTCAAATGGTTGTGGACGGAATAGAAGAAGCTTTCGCTTAACAGGCTTCCGTGTCTAGTAGCAATGGACCACCAAATCCTCCAGGCAGGCACCTAGGTATGTTGACAATAAAAGAGGAAAAAAAGTTGGCAAATCATAATATAATGCTGTCCTTGATCCTTAAGAATAGGTCAAGTTGTCTCATGAAGGACTCCTGGGAAGTCGCTCGGACTAGCTCGGCCGGCAGCGAGTTCCAGCATTTGACAACTCTTAAGGAGTAGAAGTTGTGTCTACAGTCCGTTCTGCTATGTTGTGTCTCCAGTTTCTGGGTGTTACCCCTTAGGTTAGTGTTCGAACTAAGCTTAAGTAGGTGTTTAAAAGAATGTCCAGAAGTGTTAAGAATACTATAAGCCATTAATAAATCGCCTCTAAGACGCCTATACTCTAATGGGTAAAGGTTAAGTGATTAGAGGCGCTCTTCATTAGGTTTAAATTTGAGTCCTCGAACAGATTCCGTGGCTCACCGTTGGATACGCTCCAAAGTGTCCTTATCCTTTTGGAGTGAGGGAGGAAGTACTATGTTTCCGTACTCTAAATGGGGACGGATGAAACTATTGAAGATTATATGTAAAGTTCTTCCGTCAAACTGTCCAAAAATGCGCTTCAACGTTACCAGTGCAAGGTTTGCTCGGAAGGCATTTCTGTTACAGTTAGCGTAAGACTTTAAGTCATGGGGCACCAGGACTCCTAAATCTTTTTCGACTTGGGATACTACTAGAGAGGAGTTTCCTAAGTTGTAACTATAGTTTGCGACATGTCGCAGATGGACCACTTTACACTTTGAAGTGTTAAAGGTAAGTCCGTTATCGTCTGCCCAACTTTGAAGTCGAGTCAGATCCTCCTGAAGTGCCTGTATATCGTCTTGGTTGCGTATCTCTCTCCAATGTTTCACGTCGTCGGCAAAAAGTAATAAGTCTGATGTTACCTGTTGAGGAAGATCATTTATGTAGATCAAGAAGAGAAGAGGTCCTAGTACTGAGCCCTGGTGGACCCCACTAGGACGTTCCATAGCTTGAGATAAAGTGAAATTAACCCTAACCTTAAAGTGTCGATTTTTTAGGTATAAAGTAAGCCAGTCGATTAGAGGTGGTTTGATACCTAGTCGTTTGAGCTTGTTGATAAGACACAAGTGGTTAACCTTATCAAAAGCTTTTGAGAAATCAAGGTAAATGACACCAACCTTTCCCTTGCGATCGAGGATGCTTGTCCATCTGTCCACCGCAGTCAGCAGGTTGGTTATACAAGAGTAACCCTTCCTGAAACCATGCTGTTGGGGTGAGAAGAAATTTAAGGACAGTAAATAGTCATTTAAACCGTCGCATATCAGGGACTCCATGATTTTTGAAGGTATTGAGAGAAGAGCCACCGGTTGGTAACTTGAAGGTTCGCTGCGCCGAACTCCTTTGAAAATTGGTGTGATGTGAGCCAGCTTCTAATCTTCCGTTAGTTTTCCTCGGCGTAGCGAGTGGGAGAACATCACGCTAAGCGGCGTTGCCAGGATTGAGGCTGCTTCCCTCAGTATGGCAGAATGGACCATATCCGGGCCAGGAGAAGTGTCTAATCTTAAGTGCTGCAGTTTCCAGAACACCAAGTCAGCGCTTAGGTTCACTTCGGAAAGTCCTGTGAAACTGCAGATGACTGTCATCAGTAAAGTTGATGTCGGTCGGTTGAAATGTCTGAGAGTAATGTTCAACCAGAAGGTTAGCGGCGTCGCCATCGTTGTTGGTCGGACCGTTAAGACCTAGCAGTTGGGAAACTCCAGTTTTGGCTTGACGAAGAGAGGCTGCATAACGGAATAAGCTTTTCAGATTAGAGACAAATTTGTCCATAAGCTTTGTCTGGTACTAAAGCCTGTCTTCTCTTATAGCCTTCGTGCATATGTTCCTTATATGTTTATATTGCATGTACGCTCCGTCGTTGTCAGTTCGTTTGTATTGCGCCTAACAGTGCCTTTTGCGGCTTAGCAGGCGAAGGGTACGGTTCTTGATTATTGTAGATAGCTTGCAGCTTTTGGGAACCGTTTGAGGAACTGAATAGTTCGTAGCACATAAGAGCATGTGCAGTAAGAAGTCCCAATGAGCATCCACATCGAGTTGAGGGTGAACATCCCAATCCACCTGTTGTAGATAGTCGCGTAGAGCTGGCACATTCAACCGTTTAAAATTCCAACGCAAGTTATTGGTGGGATACCTTAGCTTAGTTTTGCTGACAAAACTGAAGGCTATGACGGCATGGTCGCTTTTTCCCAGGGGAGCTAGGATTGAGAGGTTGTCAACTAGGAATTCTTCGTTTGTGAATACACAGTCTAAGCGCGACGGTGTCTGATTGTTTCTCCAACGAGTTGCCGACCTCACATAATCCCAAATCCTCAATGAGGTTGAAGAACCGAGCTTCAATTGAGTTATCGCCTCCAGTATACGTATGTTCTGCGAAGTTGACTCTAGGGAGATTAAAGTCCCCTAGAATCAGGATGTGTGTGAAACCGAGACGAGTAGAGCGGGATAGTTCTTCCAGCATACGACTGTCGTACTCAATGTCGACGGTGGGCTTCCTATATATGAGTCCGACTAGACACCTCGAAGTAGCAGACAATCTTACAGAGCACCACATGGATTCCTCAAGATTGTTAAACTCGAGGTTATGAACTTGGTGTACCTCCAAGCAAGAACGTATGTACATGGCTACTCCACCCCCAATTCCTGATTTTCTGTCGTTGCGAAACAAAGACATCCCAGGTACTGCTAACTCCTGGTCCGAGAACTGGGATGTCCAAGTTTCAGTTATTCCTATCAGATGAGCCTTATGAGTATTGCTAAGTTCACGTAGCTCATCCATTTTGTTTGGTAGACTCGCGGCGTTCATGCTTTCAATTTGAAACGCGTGAGCTTCTTCCTGTTTGTCTGTTTGAGCCTTACGTGAATGGACAGGTAGTCTACCTATATAATGTTTGCTGAGTTGGTAGGCCCTGTCATTTACACTGTGTTGTAGATGCTAGCAAAAGCCTAAGACTAAAAAATTCACAGTTTACGTCAACACAGTCATGAAGAATTCATGCAAACGACCTGGATGCCGTTTCGCTGTTACATCTGGCGTGCAGTGCGACAACTGCAAAGGTTGGTTCCACGAGGCGTGCACAGATCTCACAGCAACTGCTTACAATAGACTCAGCAAGTCGGACCAAAAGTGGGTATGTGTAACGTGCAGCACGGACGCTGTAGTCTTTCTGAGTAACATCATCGTCCTACTTACAGGTCTTCGGAACAAGTTGTCAGTTAACTTGGATAACGATAGTAAAAAAACCGGTAGACAAACAAGAGCGTGCGACGGATACAAAAATAGGGATGCCGACAGGTATACCACCGATGGAGCATCCGTCAACACTAATGATGACGTGTCGAGGCTCAGCACCATCATTACGTCGACGGTACTAGACTCCCTAAGCAAACTCGGGTCTCCCAGCTCAGGGTCCCTGAACACAACAGTGGTTCCCAAAAACCCTGTAGGTGACTCGACCCACGTTAACAGAGCTCAAAAGAACCAGGTGTCACCGCCTAAGCTGAGCATCCCAAGTGTTGCTGTACGGAAAACAACTGGTGATCTGGTCGCACAGTCTACCCCCAAGAATGTCCGTCCGGTCATCAAAGAGCCAAGGATTCATAAACGTGCTTCGACCTCCAAACAACAAGGTATTAAACCTGAACGCACCGGAAAACCTGGGACGACAATAACGGTTCGTGATGACTATCTCATAATCATGAACCTCGTTGACAATCCTGACCTTCCTCTCAGATTGCAGGACAAAAATGATAGGATGCTCTGGGGAGAATTGAACAAGAAGCTCGAACTTCCAAGAATAGAGCCTTTGACGATCACATGGCTCACTCGGGGAAAGAAATCTAAGCATCAAAATCACCCGATGCTACTTCGTGTAACACTCAAGAACGCTACCGACGTAGAGGATGTCTTGCTAGCGAGTCATTTACTGAAATCAGATGGGAATGTAAGAATACTGCCTGACATACCGTATTCTGAGCGCAATCTCATCCGGAACATCCCCAAAGAATCTCGCAAGCAGTTTTTCCGCGGAAGGAATATAATCGTGCAAGGTGTACCGGAAAACACGGACCCTAATCAAGCAAACTCCAATATCAGGGGATGGAAATCCATCAAACAGTCCTTGAGGCTCAAAAACATACTGACTCAGCATGTGACGAGACTAGTCAAGAAGGACGGTGATTTCAGACCCCGGCTAATGAAGATAACTTTCCCATCCTCCCACATGGCAGCTGCAACTCTGGAGGCCTTTCGTGC